TTTTTTCTTTTTTTACTTTTTTTTTTTTTTTTACTAAGCCTGATTTTTGTGTATATACACAGCCATAAGAATAAAATAATAAAAAAAATAAATGAAAAAAAGAAAATCGCTAAGCCAAAGTGGCTTACAAATTAAATAAATTAATAACGGAATTATTTTTTTTTCTTTTTTGTTAATGAATATTTATGTTAATGAATATATATATATATAATAATTCACTTTTTTGATATTTTTTTTTTTTCCTATTTGTCTGTTCACTCTGTTGTTGAAAAAATTATCGTACACTGTGTGCAAACTTTGTACGTTACATTCATACACCCATATATACTTGTATATATATATATGTATGTATATACAGATATATATGTATTGTATACACGTTTAAATAAAGAAGATAATATGGTAAAAAAAATACACGTTTAAATAAAGAAGAGAATATTATAAAAAAAATGAAAGTTAAAAATACGATAAGAGGTTTAATAGCAACAATATATATTATATTGATCTTTACATGTCCAATTTTAGGTAAAAAAAACATACTTTTTTTAAATATTTACTTTTTTTTTAAACGTAAATTTATTGATTACTATTTTAATAACGATAATTATTTTAATATTTATCAAAAAAAAAAAAAAAAAAAAAAAATTTTTTTTTTTTTTTTTTTAGAAGTTTCAAAATTATTATTATTTAATTTAACAAAACAAGAATTAACTTTACAAAATGAAATAATTGAAATTATGTAAGTTGAATAAATAATATAAAATATAATATGATCATGTTTTTATTTTTTTAAAAAAATTCTCTTCTTAGTATTCATATACGTAAATATTATTATTATATTATTATATTGTATATTTAAAAAAGTTATTTAATTGCTATGACTATATTTCCAAGTAAGTATTTTTAATTTGTTTTTAACTTATTTTAATGGGGGTTTAACTTATTTTAATGGGTTCATATCGGCTGATCAGAAAAGCCTCCCATAATTTTATATGCTAAATGACAATAAGTAACCCATCAGTTATATAATGAACCCATCAACTGAGCTTAAATATTAATTGGCGTGATTTTTCCAATCAGCCGATATGACTTTTTTTTTTATTGAAGGGGTTTAAAATAATTTTAATTTTTTTTTCTTTATTTTAAATAATTTTTAGTAGGATTAATAGCTACAGCTCTTAAGAATCTATGTTGTAACATGGGTGGATTAATGAGTCATTTAAAAGAACAACTATGGTAAAATATATATATATATATTTAACCTTTATTTCTTTTTTAATATATCAATCGGAATTTTTCGCTTATAAAAATTTAAAAAATTTTTTTTTATATATAAAGTTGTTTACCATTCTTAATCCTAATAATAGCAAGTAAGTTTTTTAATAGATAACTTTTATCGTAAATGAATGAATGATTTCACATTTTCACATTTTCATATTTTTCACAATAAAAAATCTCTTTCCTTAAAGGTATATATACACATCTGACATCACAAGATATGACACCAATTCCAAGTACTTGTCCATCAAATTATCCATATAAATTATCTTTAACACGTGTGGCTTGTTTTATAAGATTAATAAATCTTATTATAATGTGGACTTTTACTACTTTATTATTTATATTAACAATAGTTGATTGTTTTGGTTATTTTCCGACTAATAATAGAGGAAGGGATAATACTATTCAATCAAGGTTAAGCGATTTTTTCCCTCCTGATAGGGATGATGATATTGGTATGACTGAGAAACGAATCAAATGAATCAGGGGAAAAAACGAAGAAAAAAATTTAATACACAATATGTTAAATACACAATACTTATACGTACAATATGATAATATTATATGTATAATTTATTTATTTATTTATTTATTTACGATTTATTTACGATTTATTTACGCAAGCAGAAATTTACTTAACGAAAATTTACTTAACGAAAATTTATATTACCATTTGGGAAAGAAAGAATAAAAAAAAAAAATATCTACATCAAAATAATAACCAATAAAATCAATTCAAAGGTTATCCAAAACATTTATTTTTAAATTTTTTTTTTGAAAAAAAAAAAAAATTTTGTCACAAATTACGAAAAACTTTCCAAAAATATTCTTACAATCTACTTAATCTACTTTAAAAAAAAAAATTAATATACAAAANAAAAAAAAAAGTACAAAATAAATAAAATAAAATAAAATAAAATAAAATAAAAAAGAAAAAGAATGAAATAAAATAAATAAAAATAATAAACAATAAAATCTAAACTTATTCTAAAATACATCTACTCACGTTGAAAATCCTTCTTAACCCCCAAAAAAATCTACGTCTACGTTACATTATAATTACAACTTACAGTACATCAAATCTAAAAAAAAAAAAAATCTATAACAACCTAATTTACATTTAATAAGAGGTGGTTTGCGGTAGATTATCAAATTCTAATAAACGAGAAGTGTATATGGCTTCGGGATGTATATCGTAACCAATTATTCCATATGAACTCGTATTTGATGACGTAGTAGAATTTGTTAATGGTATATTTGCTACTGAATAAGAATGTGATAAACTACTACTTAATGATGTTGTAAATGGAGTTGAAAAAGTAAAAATAGAATTTGGAGTATTTGGAGTTCCAGGAGTTGTTGGAGAAGAAAATCCACTACTCATATTATCTTTGATCGGAGAAATTGGAGTACCACTACGTGAACCTCTAGAAGCTTCATCATCTACTCTCATTAAATGTTTCATTTCAGGATCCAATCTCCAATACCATCCTCTTATCATATTATGTAATTCAAGAGCGGAAGGTCTTTCTTCTGGTCTTGAATCCCAACAACTTGATATTAATTTCATAATTCTAGGAGGAATATCTGATGATGTTATTGGTGGTCTATGACCCGAACATATTTTTTTTGCCAATTTTAAATCATGAGGTACGTCATGATATGGAGGATAACCAGTAAATACTTCATATATGATAAAACCAAAAGCGTAAACATCAGCTGCTCGAGTATATTTTTGACCTCTTAAAACTTCTGGAGCTACATAAGGTAATACACCATATAATTTTGGTTTTTCATAAGTTGAACCTCTTCTTGAAGAAGTAATATAAGAAGTAAAAAAATCTTGTTTTTCTTGTAAATAAAATTCTTTAAAAAAATCATCATCATCAATAGTATCAGGTTCATCAACAAAATCATCCTTTTCAGATAAAATTTTTCTTGGATCATTTGATGCGGGACCACATAAACCTAAATCACTTAAAGAACTCCAAGTTTGTGGCATAGGATAAATTTTTGTTGAATTATTTGTTGTAATATAATTTTTTTCCGTTGGATTATTTATAGTTGTTTGTAAAATATTTCCAGGATGTAAATTTCCATGTACCATATCAGCTTGATGAATTTTTTTAAGTCCATTTGAAATTGGTACCAATAATTCAATCTTATTTGAAAGTGATAAGGTATTAAAATGTTTGTTTATATATTCACGAAGATTACATTTAACATATTTCATGATTAATATGTAATTATTTGTTTCAGGATTTTTTGTCATTCCGTATATCCGTATAATACTTCTTGGATTTTCATGTTCAAATTTTGCTAAAGCTCGTAACTATTATAAAAGATATTAAAAGAGGATTTGAAAAAGAAATCAAGTTAATATACATGTATATATAAATATATATACGAAAATAAATGAATATTAAATAATTTTTACCCGTTGAAGATATTCTTTTGAAAAATTTTCGGAATATTCAAAACTTTTTAAGGCAACTCTACCAAAAACGTCCCTATCAGTACACCAAGCAGAAAATACACTACCATAACCACCTTTTGCTAAAAATTTAACATCTTCAAATTTATCAAAAGGAATCCATTTCCAAGGTTTACGATGTTTTGAAGCGGTACGTTGAGTTTCTTTTATAATTTCATCAATTTCATCATTTCCTGTAGTCCAAATTCCCAGTATAGATTTAATCGTTTTCCATAAAGCACAACAATCTTTTGGATTATGTTGACGAGAATTTGAAGAAAAATGAAAAGCTGACTGAAAATTTGATGATGAACTACTTGTATGAGAATGTGAACGATTATGAACTTTACGATATTGATGAGAATGTTTATAATCATTACGATTATTTCCATGTATTAAATTATCGAACAGAGACTGTTGGTTTCCCATTTTTTTTTTTTTTTCTTTTGAGATTTTCTTTTTCACAAAAAATTTGAAAAATGAAAAAAAAAACAATCCAAGTTTATTTAAAAAATAACTTTTGGTTCACGTGGTTAAGATTGTACTACGTAAAGAAAGTAATGAATAGAATTTCTTTGTTCTTTTTTAAAAAAAACAAATAAAAATTTTTTTTTTTTTTTTTTAAAAAAAAAAAAAAA